AAAAATATCTTTATTATCATCGATAATGTTTACAATCTCAAAATATTTTCTGGCTTTAAATAACCTGAAAAAGTTTATTAAACCATAATAAAATCCTTCAATCATCAAATCTGACTCAGCCTCGCTTTGTCTCGTCTTGAAGTCAAAACACTACATTATTTTATCCGAATCAGTTATTGTATGTCAACACCAATCCTTAGTTTGTGAATTTTTGCTTTGTTACGTTTGTTTTCTGTCTATATTTCTGGAATGAGGTATTATGTACACTGTGGCACCATTTACGAGGCAGAGAAAGAAAGAGAAAGAAAAGAAGGCAGAAAGAAATGCGAGACGGATCATAGGTGATAAAGCAGCCACACACATGGCCTAAGAGACAATGAAAATATTGATAAGTAACAAGTGAAAAAGTGTGTCATTAGAATGACAGGGAATTTCTGAGTAAAAAAAAAAAAGAAAAGGAAAAGAAAGAAGGAACCAGATGTGTTTTGATAACGGCTATGTTATCTAGGTACGTAAACGAATGGCTGGACCACCGGCCCAGGAAAAATTCAAGTGAAAATGCTATTTCGATAAGTAACGAGATAAGTAACGAGAAACAGGCCACTAAAAAGGACTTTGGACAGATATGAAAATTAAAGGCCACCTACGAGTAATCGTTGACCGATTTTCCTACTTGGCCTGCGCGAATGGAATTGTGTTATCAAGAAATGTTCGCCAAAGAAAGTCCACTTGAAAACGTTAATTTTGATAATTGACAAAACACAGGTGTAGCTACGGAGCCTTAGTTAGATATGGAAAATTAAAATCCCACACAAGCAGTCTCGCTAACTAAACTCTTTTCGACAAAACAACTTTTGCCCTGCGATAATAAATTTTATGTTATCAGAATATGTGCCGAAGGAAATGGGTGGGGACCCAGGGGTGTTTTTCTTTCTTCCTTGGAGACGTCAGACTGACTGAAGACTTGGGGATCATTCTTTTTGAGGCCATGTTAAGAAAACCAACTATCTGATGAATTAACGATAAACTACTTGACAAACGCCACGTGTTGAACAAACAGTTGTCATATTATCCGTTCATGATAACGGCGATTTGAAAGGAAGAAAAAGGAAAGAGAAGAGATAATTAATTTTTTTTAGTTAAGCAAGGTATTTTTTTTTTCGAAACAAAGCCGCGGATTGTTCACGCACGACTAAGACATCATTGGTCAAGTGGTGATCACATGACGCACGAAGGAGGAGGAAAGATACCCGACCAAGACCTCATTGGCCGAGAGTGATCACGTGACGCACGAAGAAGGCTGTCGACGCCCCATCCAGAGTATAAGTATGAGAAGCTGCTACGAAGAAGTGGGAAGGGCAGTTCACGCCCCTCAGAAGCATGGTGAGAAAGTGGGGAGTGAAAAAAAAAGTTACCAAAAATGGAAAAGAGTGGAAAATCCCTAACCAGAAATAAAAGAGGTGGATATGTATTTAGAATTATCGAGGAACTCCCCGACGCCAACAGACCCAACCCGGTTTTTGCCTGCGTCAATAAAAGCCAGGCCCCAACAGGCAGAAATCAGTTAGGGCCCTGGCGGCAGAGATGATAGACCAAGATAGCTGACCAAGATTCTTCAACCAAGAACAATTATTTTGAAGAGCGACTTAGGACCAGACCACCGAAATAAGTTTTTCGACTTTCGTCCAAAGACACACCGAAACACAAATTCCTTAGAGAGCAAACAACTTGAAGCGTTAAAACTTGCCTAGCGAAAACGACGTGTCACAATCCACAGAACGGGTCGGGAGATAGATGCTGTCCTATTTATCGAACAACTAGACATAAAAGTTTGTTACCTTTTTCTTTGATACTTTGAACTTTTTGAGTTTTCATTTTCTTTTCTTTTATGCATATTTGTGTGTTATCACCCCCGTTGAACTCAATTTGCATTACGGCCACAACCACTGTTTGATCTCGTCTGTCTAAGATCAATTCACAACGTGGGTACGCAGATTGGAGATCAGTGCAGTTACCTTGGTAACCAGGCGTTGGAAGCGAGTTGGGAACGGCGAGGCTGATATCAAATCTAACCAGATTCCCACCCGAATCACCAAAAGGTTAGAACGTCACATTTGGGTGCCGCGACCGATACCAAGCCAGTTGATCGTCACAGGACGAGACAACACGACTGACGCGACAGGCGAACGTCACGTTTGGAGCAGCGACACCCGGACGGAGCAGCGAGGAGCGAACAGCTGGCGCCGCGGCGAAGACGTCACAATTGGTGCTGTTTAGGGACGTCACAACTGGTGTCGTGACCGGGATAGGACCCTGGAACGGCCACGTCACGACTGGCGCCGTGGTAGATCGGGATAGAACGTCACAGTTGGCGCTGCGACCGGGGGACGACGTCAAAACACTATTTACATTATTCAGACTATTGTGCTCATCTTTGTCGCCATAATTATTACTACGTTTCAGCCTTTCATTTTCTGTCTATATTTCTGAGATGAGGTATTATGTACACTATTTACATTATTCGGGCTCTTGTCCTCATCTTTGTCGCCATGTTTATTACAACGTTTCGGTCGTTGTACGCTGGATGTAACTAACGCCTTTTCCCACTTTGCCATGTGTTCTTGAGGAACCAGTGACAGGACCAAAAGAGTTGTGAGTTCAATACCTGGTTAAGGCAGTGGAGAACTTTTAGAGGAAATTAACAGGAGATAACTGACATCCATTCGACAATACACGTGAAACTAGAACAGTCTATCTCATTGAGCGAAATAAAGGGTTCAGTTCGACATTCCAAACACCTGGATAAGGCCTGAACCTACAACATCCGAAACGTTTTGATAAACATGGCGACAAAGATGAGGACACTTTTCCGAATAATCTAAATAGTGCACTGTTGCATCTATTGTTTGCTTACTCAATATCTACGTGGCCCAGTGGTTAGAACGTTCGTATTCTGACCATGAGACCCGGGTTCGAATCTCACCAGGACCGATTTTTCAGGAAGGAGTCTTCCTGATGCTATTGGACTGGAGGGTCCGATCCTAGTTGGAAAGTGCCTGAAAATCATACCACGGGTTGACCCAAGCCTTGTGAGTGAAATTGGGTAGACGGAACCCTTGGGGTCTTCGATAGCTGTCCTAGCACGAAGTCACAAATCATCGTGGCCGAGGGCTTGGACGTGTTGACCTTGTTCAAATTCTTGATCACGCTAGATAACACCCTCTTGTAGTATGAAGGACATGTGGACTTTGTGGGTGTTGAATAAACAGAAATGCGCCTGAGCGTGCGCCTGCAATAGGCATTGGCTAGTCGCCCTAGTAGACGTGTATCGTCGAATACGAATGGCCAGCTATACATATTCAATATTATTATTATTATTATTATTATTATTATTATTTTCCTTTTCTTTTCTTTTCTTGTTAATGTTTATTAAAACCTTTGTTGGGCAGATTTACCATTTACATTTTACCATGGCCGCTACCTCTAGATAAATAATCTGGGCTCGATGTATATTTCCATGAATTCTAATTTCATTTATCCATATATTAACCATCTCAAATACCAGAGGATTATTTCGGTTAAAAATTACAATATATCGTAGCCGAGAAGGAAACATTAAAAAACAATAAAAATCGAGTAATGAAAATAAATAAAAATGTATGGAAATTAAAATAATAGGAAATAAAGGAAAATAGAATCATAAAGGGAGGATGATACACAATGGCCGCCAAAACAGGAAGTTTGACCGATATTAAAATTAGGGCTGATGGAATATAAGAAAAAGGACAATGAATTTTCTAAAGATAAGAAAATACCGGTTTATCATATCTCCCGAGAATTTCCTCTTGATTGTCGCTCTAAGCAACATCTGGCTATTCTTTGCTGATTTGCCAATTTCTTAAGTCAGTTATTCGCTGCATTTTCTGCATTCAATATGTCCCATCGGTGCTTTTCCTTCTTATGTTTCCAGAATTTCCATGTGTGTTTTTTTAATTTGAAAAATAATTATCTTTTTACTTTAAAATCTTCCTCGTTGCCCACATTTTCCATTCATAATATTTCCAGTCTCCCCCATCGATTCCGATAATTTCATCGTCTCACGGGAAATTGTTTAATATTCACTGCCATATTGGACGACGATAGACAGTACATTTTGACTTGTCTCTTAATACGTTATTTAGTTCGTGGAAGCAAGTCTTCTTTATTTCTGCGTGCATCCAGACTTGTGTGTCAAATGTTCAGACATCGTTTATTTCACTACCCAGAGAGATACATTTCTGTATCTAATTTATTCTGAGCTTTCCAATACCTACTTCACACCTTTGGTTGTCTCCCCTGTTTTCGACTATAGATTCTGTCGTCTTACAGTTGATAGTTAGTCTTTCATTCTCGCTTTTCTTTGCTATCGGGTGTAAGGGTTTTAAAGTTTGCATTCCAAGCCCGCCATCAAAATGGTACCATGTGCTTATCTTCATATGTGTTAATATTTTGCCGACAAATAATATATCCTGATAGGACATCTAGTTGTCTTCAAATCTCCACGGCGAATAGTTTAAATAAATCGAGTGAGGAGATGCATTATTTTCTTCGGTCGATTTCTAGTTTTTCGATCCGCTTTCGCTTGTTAAATGCGGCGAATTACCACAATCAAACTAATTGGATCAAATCGTCGTCTTCCGTGACATTTACTTGGAAGAGACGGTCTGCCTGAAAATCGGAAAAAATTCATTTCGCTTATTCAGCATCTTTCATCCTATGCCTAACATATTCGTCTCTCGCACTTCTCGCTTGTGGAATACTCTACCGCTTTCTTGCTTTCCAGTCAACTTTGACCTTCAAAATTTTAAATGTGTGCCAATCGGTATCTTTTGTCTTCTTAATTCCTGTTCTTTTATTGTTCTCTCTCTTTCATATTGTTTCCTTTTTTTTTTACACATTCTCTCACATTCAATAATCCCTTGTATCTTAGTGGCTTTATTGACTTGCTTGGGGTAAAATGATCAAAATAAAGACGGAACGAACGAGAAAGATAAACAATAAAGATAAAGAAAAAAGAACGATAAAAGTGAAAATATAGAAATAGAAAGAAAGAAAGAAAGAAAGAAAGAAAGAAAGAAAGAAAGAAAGAAAGAAAGAGCGTAAAAGATAAAGGGACCAGTAAGGAATGAAGAAATGAAAGAAAGAGAAAGAGAAAGATAAAAGAACGACAAACCAAGACAGTGATAATATAGAAATAGAAAAAGAAAGAAAGAAAGAAAGAAAGAAAGAAAGAAAGAGCGGGAAAGATAAAGTGACAACGAAAGAAAGAAAAAGCGGGAAAGATATAGAGACAACGAAAGAAAGAAAGAAAGAAAGAAAGAAAGAAAGAAAGAAAGAAAGAAAGAAAGAGCGGAAAAGATAAAGTGACAACGAAAGAAAGAAAAAAGAAAAAGCGGGAAAGATATAGAGATAACTAAAGAAAGAAAGAAAGAAAAAAAGAAAGAAAGAAAGAAAGAAAGAAAGAGCGGAAAAGATAAAGTGACAACGAAAGAAAGAAAAAGCGGGAAAGATATAGAGACAACGAAAGAAAGAAAGAAAGAAAGAAAGAAAGAGCGGAAAAGATAAAGTGACAACGAAAGAAAGAAAAAAGAAAAAGCGGGAAAGATATAGAGATAACTAAAGAAAGAAAGAAAGAAAGAAAGAAAGAAAGAAAGAAAGAAAGAAAGAAAGAAAGAGCGGAAAAGATAAAGTGACAACGAAAGAAAGAAAAAAGAAAAAGCGGGAAAGATATAGAGATAACTAAAGAAAGAAAGAAAGAAAGAAAGAAAGAAAGAAAGAAAGAAAGAGCGGAAAAGATAAAGTGACAACGAAAGAAAGAAAAAAGAAAAAAAAAAAAAAAAGGGAAAGATATAGAGATAACTAAAGAAAGAAAGAAAGAAAGAAAGAAAGAAAGAAAGAAAGAAAGAGCGGAAAAGATAAAGTGACAACGAAAGAAAGAAAAAAGAAAAAGCGGGAAAGATATAGAGACAACTAAAGAAAGAAAGAAAGATAAAGAGACATCTAAAGAAAAACAGAATGAAAGGATGAGAAAAAAAGAAAGAAAGAAAGAAATATCAGGAAAAAATAATCGCAGAAACACCGAGAGTAAATGACAAAACAAGATGAAATAGAGATTAAGAGAATAATGGTAGAAATAAAACTGGAAAAAGAAAGAATAAATTACAAAGGAAAGTTATCCAATTTTGGAAAAAATATAGAAAGAAAGGAAGAATAACATAAGTGAGTCTGAGAGGCAGAGAGAGAGAGAGAGAGAGAGAGAGAGAGAGAAGATAGAAGAAAGAATTAGAAATAGAGAATAAAAGATATCGGGGGCGGGGAATCAAGGCGAAAGAATAAATTATCCACGACAAAAAAAAAAAGAGAGAGAGAAAAACGAAAAAAGAAAAAGAAAATGTATTGAACGTAAAAAGTTTTGAAAATGAGAAATCGAATAAAATTTAGATAAAAAAAAAACATAAATAGCAGTGAGAAAACCAGAAATTATTTCTCGAATTTTCTTAGCGTTATAAATGAAAAAAAAAAACCCAAAAGCTTAAACAAAAATGCCACAATAAAACATTGCATCAGAAGCCAACAGTTGGACTCTATATAAATGTTCAAGTAACTATGGGAAAAGATATAAACAGAGAAAAGGAAGTCGCCTTGTTTTAATTGAAAAAAAAAAAAAACGAGGGAAAAAGTAAGTTACTTAAAAAATAAGCGTAACTCGGCGAACGAAAAGAAGGGAGAATTAAAAAAAAAAAACATTATAAAGAAATGTATTTTCCCAGATCTAGCGACAAAAAATAGGCGGTCATGCCAGAAATTGAAAAGATAAACAGATGATAGTCATAAATAAATATTGAAGAGAGGGGGGGGGTGAGAGAATTTTCTCAGAAACACGCATTAGATCATGAGACCAGATCTGAAGAAAAATATGAATATGGGTCTCCAAATCTAAGTGCATCGAAAACACATTCACTAAGAGGCAAATTACGCTAAAATGCAGAAGCCGATTAATATATATATATATATATATATATATATATATATATATATATATATACGGCAGGGTGAGTGTGTGTTTGTGTGCGTGTATGTGTGTGTGTGTGTGTCGGTTGAAACCCACTTTCAAAGATGCAGTGTTTCAATGACTTATCAGCAATCGCTCATATATATTGCTTCCATCGAAACATATATCATTTTCTCTTACGCCTATATGTATACAGAGACTCTCACAAGCATAAACACACCCAAAACCGCATACTCAAACACCGCAAAGACACACACGCAAAGACAACACACACACACACACACACACACACACACATATATATATATATATATATATATATATATATATATATATATATATATATAGTAATGATACAATATGGTAATCCGTATGGCATTTCCAGGAGGATATAGATCCAGGGAGAGTCCTATGTCAAAGGACAGAGCAAAATTATTATTAATTAAAAGAATATCAAACACTTAAAATCCTTTGTAGATCTTGAAGATTGAGATTTTTAGTGTTTTATTTTTTGATATATATTATATATATATATATATATATATATATATATATATATATATATATATATATATATATATATATATATATATATATATATATATATATACCGGATGGAAAAAGCAAAATTGTCCAAATTATGTAACTAAACTTATTGGGTTTCTTTTTTCACTTTGAGTTATTGAGTTATTCTTTGAGCTAAAGAGATCAATTAGAAAAGAACCATATGACCTTTTGGCACGTGACAGAGGAGTTTCAGCTATGACAGTCCAAAGAGCAGTGAAAAAGACTTGAAAATGAAATCGTACGTGTTAGGTACCTTGTTACTATAGTACAGAAAGTTAGAAGGTTAGATAGGGCAAAGATCATCTGGAATGAGTTGGAACAAAATTCCGTTATAATATATATATATGTATGTTTAAATTTTATTTCAATCCTTCCTGAGCTTCCGATCCTTAACTATGATTAATTAATGATCAACATGTCATTTTCGTTTTTGATTGATTTCATCTGTTAATCTTGGAGAAAGTAGAATCCAATAGTATTATAAAAACCCCGGAGAACTCAAGTGAGTTTTCTTTAATCATTTCTAAGATATATCGGTTCAAAGCTAAATCTCACAATTGGACAGTTTTGCTGTTACATCCGTTATCTATAATTTATGGCGTGTACAGAGTTTCAGTAGAGTTGTAAAACGGACTTATATAAGGTATAAAGTATATATCGTATATACAGATATTTTGAAACAAGGAGATGCAGACGAATGCTTTTATATGTTTACCGTGAAATAGTGAATCGAAAAATTATATACAAGAAAAGCAACTAAACGAAGCTATCTGGCTACCGCTTCTCAATTTTCAGATCTCATACCCGGACAAAATGATAATACATTTTTCGCAGAGCAACCAAAATAGAATTCAAATTTATCAGAGATCGTCTGCAATACACATTCTCAAAGTGTTTACATTACATGCCATCTACGAATCTTTGCTAACACGTGCTGAACAATTCTCATCGAATATTTATACATGTATATTCAGTATTGTCTTTCAAGCTATAAAGCAATTGGACTGAGATTATATTGACAGGAGCAGAACAATAATAATTAATATACTAACTATAAAAATTGCAGTTCTTAATTGGTATGATATTTGCAGGTTTTCTAATCCTAGGATCAACTCTTTTAGATTTCTCCGGTCACAAATGCTCATATATTGGGTGATTTGTCGCATAGTATGAAATATATTATTTTGAGATTGTCGATCAAAAGGAGCAGATTTTGAGATGTTGTTTGTGCACTTATCTAAATTTCCAACCAATCTGTATATAAGCTTAGTGCACTGAAGTCGCCAATCAATGATCCTGTAAATTCTTATTGTGGTAAATTTATTGATCACTGAATTTAGTCTGCGATCTAAAGACTTTTAAGACTGGAAATATCTTCATTGTGATAACCGTCCTGGGTATGACGATAAACTACATCCGCGTCCTGGCTAAGATGATAAACTACATCCCACATCAAGGTCTCTGATCAGAAGGTTTTGAGGAGTGTGGAGCCGCCTCTTAATTGCTGGTGTTCGCAAGTTTACCCTGACCCGGAGTGGTGGTACCTGTTAGGGTCCCGGTTATGGGCAAATAGTTAACACACAAACTTGTGTGAAAATAGGTTTTAGTACCAGAAATACTTTGTAATAAAAAAAAATATTACCAGCAATAATTTTTGAAGGAAAAGTTATCAGCAATACTTAAAAAAAAATACCAGCAATACAAACAGCTATACATTCTTTGGGAAAAAATATGACCAGCTATAGATTTCAAGAAAAAATATTCCCAGAAATAGATTTTTGAAGAAACATTACCAACAATAAAAATTTTGTCGGCATTAAATAACCCTTTTAGATTGATATACCGTAAATACAAAACAAGCCAAACAAAGCCATAGTGATAAATCAATATTTATTACTAAATCTGACCCACGTGTTGGCATGGTAGATTTGGTCTCTTTGGATTACGTAAATAAAATTAAAATTTGAGAAATGGTGAAAAAAATACTATTTGGCACACATTAAAAGGCCCAAGGCCACTCCCATTAGATAGTTATTGAATAGGTATTATGTAAGCTACGTACACGTTGGAGTAAACGTTCATATTATGAAGGTGTGGTAAAATAAATAACAGTTGATTCTAGACATGAATAGCTTAAAACTGCAATCCCCAGGGGAGCATGCTCTCGGCTGTCTGTCCCACAAATTATTCTGCAAGATATGTTGTCGATAGAACTTCATCGTTATCAATGAAATATGAAGCGGATAAGGATGAATCGACTCTCCTTGTGTTACATATTGGGTCCTAACTGGGATGCTCTGAACTAACAGAATTAGAGAATATAGTTCGTCTGAAAATCTGCTAGAAAAATAGCGATAGAATATCTAGGGGCTAACAAATTTGTGTCTGAGGGAAAGGAGTGGTACGTTCAAAAATAATTCATCACCGACATGACCGCGTAAAACCTTTTGGACTCCGTCAAAAAAGGAACGCTTGGATTAGATAGTTCTAAGCCAGATAGGGTATCAATACATTTTTTGCCAGGTCTCGCTCTTGTAATGATAGAGTATGATAGCTGGAGTCAGGTTCTATCTTGAACGCTTCAAGAAACCGACCATTTTTCGAGCGTTCCACTTGGGGGTCTGGATCTTTATTAATGTAAGATCAAATCAAAAATGGAGTATTGATGCAATATCCCGGCTGGGTCTACCTAAATTTCACATTTCCGATTACGACGATCTTTAACCTCTTTAAGGTTAGGGGTCAACCGTTATCTTTCTTACATATAAACTGCACATTTTATTTCCTCCTCTTAGGTTCATACAACAACATCACTCAGTTAACCTCTGCCTTGAGAGCCTCATGGGTCCCTGCATTTGGGGAGCAATTAGAAGTTATTTATATTATTGTGCATCGAATAGGGGTGCCAGTATCCTAATGATTATCGGCATAGAAGATTTAATCAGCGAGCAAACATCTCCAGTATATTTGTCATGTTAAAACAATTCACACATAATAAAGAAATGAATAGTTTAAAGGGAGACATTATATCTATCTATCTATCTATCTATCTATCTATCTATCTATCTATCTGTTACTTCGTATCTATCTAACATTTTTTTTATCTCATGTTCCGTGGTTAATCTGCTGGATAAAATGCCAACATATTTATAGCATTTCTTGTAAATTTAATTTTGAATTCACAATTCCATCTTCAAAATAACGCATGACAGATTTTATAGGCTTACATGGTAGCAGCAGAATGAAGTAATCACTTGAACAGACATTCTCGATGGTTGATTCATGCCTTTGAGATTAACATTAATGTAAAAGCGAAAATAAATTACGTCAACAACAATTCAGTGCACCGCTTATATTTTCCGTGTCTTTAACTATTAAAGCAACTGTGCACCTTCAGGCAGTTAGGTCAATCATCCAAAATTATTGATTCAAACCCAAAGGGAGACATTATTATCCTGAATTGAACATAGGTGTTTACCTTAGAACCATACAAATATACGCGTTTACACTTACTGACCATTTCTCACGTTCCTCTGTGTTGGCCTTAATGAAGCCTCCAAAATCTGTTCAACTTTTACCATAGGTAAATATATGTAATCATCACCAGGGTCATAAGTTTTGCAAATCTAACTAACTAGCTAGCAATACCTGTTTGTAGCTTTTCCACTTTCTGTCTGTCTGTCTTTCATTTACAAGTAATATCTCTATCTCTCTTTTTTTTACCATCTGTTCAAATCTATATACGCATCTTACTCTTTTTTTTACTTCTTAGATTGATTATTTCTTTCATTATCCTTTCTTTATTTCTTTGAGTGATTATGTCTTTCTTTCTATTTCGTAGAATTTTTATTTGTTTATTTCTACTTTTTAGGTCTTAGAGTGATTTTTTTTTTTTCTTTACCCTCTTTCCTTCTTCGAATGATTATTTATTTCTGTCTCCATTTTCATTCCTTAAAATGATTATTTCTTTATTTCCTTTTTTTAGTTCTTAGGAGGATTATTTCTTTTTTTCATTTTTTTAGTTCATTAAGTGATTATTTATTTCCCCATGTTTAATCATTAAAGTGACTTCTTTCTTTCCCCTTGATTAGTTCATTGAATGATTCTTTCTATCTTTCCCCATTTAGTCCCTAAATTGGATATTTATTACCTGCCCCATTTTGGGGGG